TTTTATGACCACGTGGCTTCCTCCACAAATTACGCTTGAAGGTTTCATGACTTCCCCAAAGGGTACTGACTGCTGCGTGGAACATGCTTTTTTACTGTTTGGTCGTCGACTGCTTGTTGCAAACTTTCCAAACCCACTTTGCAAAATGCTCACACATGCTGATAAACTGCGTCAACTTTGAGAAGGTGGGTTCTCGTTCTTTCTCGGTTAAGTTTTCGGCAGTCTCTGCCCATTTCACCCTTAAAATAGGGGGCAATTTCCCTACTGTGCCTTCCACAGTTCTCAGAGAGTTAAGGTCTGCGGTATAGTCCACTTGTCCTAGGGCCACGGAGCAGTTCTCCATTTTTATGGCCAACCTCGACATAGACTTGGCATCATTTTACTTTGTGTTGGAGTATTCCATCAGATCCTTTAGTAAGGCCCAACTGATCTCATGGGTTTTTCCGAACAAACATCCGGGTATATCTCATGCCCTGCGGTAACCGGCAGACGGTGGTAACATAATGCATTCCTCTATAGCCCACCTGGCCTTATCTTTACAGCAATGTAACAGATATAACAGCCTCTGTCCTTCATCGTCAACCTTGGAGACAACGTAGAGCTCAAACTGCCCCGTAAACTTTCAGTATTTGGCCAGGCATCCGTCAAGACGGCATGACTCCACCTTCGGCTACTCTTGGCGGACATTAATACAGGACAAGGTAGCGGCAGTCCCTTTGTTTTTTGCGCTGCCCACCTGGCAAGCCATTTCAGGATCTAGCCTGTTGCGAGGGTCAGTACCACGAAAGGCTGATTTGTGACACTATATCATCATCCGACGAAAGGGCATCACCCAAAACACCTTTCATACCTGATAAGTTCGGTTCTTTATGCAGACGCGACCTATCCTGCCTTTGTTTAGCCCTGAATTCACAAAGCTGTAACTCTTGCCTTTCATCCAACTGCCGTACCTTCAATTCAGCAGAGGCCGTACTAGAGCTAGCCTCAATAAGTTGAAGAACTGTACCATTACTAGAGCCACGGTATGAAATCAGGTCAAGAGGGACTTGCGTTGCATCTGAGGGTGGATCCATGAACATGTCACCTTCTCCGTCTGCAGCTGACTCAAGGAACACTTTGCGCTTGCCGGGTAGAGCAGTAACGGTATGTCGAGTACTGTAACAACCAAAATCGAATAATCTTGGCCTAAAAGTGAGAAATAACCAGGCGGTGTCAACTTACGTAAATCTGACTAGTTCCTGCGTTCTATTGTATAGCTTTCCAACTTCCACAAGTGACACACGGTCAAGGGTTGGATCAATATATCAAAACAGGGTTTGTAGTAAATCAGTGGTAGACCCATATTAAAATCTGTGATACCATCAAAGCAACAATAAGTTATATCAAAATTACAAAAATACCTCAACAACGCCGTTGGGTAACTATACAGTCCAAACGTTCCCGGGTGCAAATACGTAATATGCGGTAAAAACTGCTTAAACAAATACAATTGTTAAGTACCTGGGAGTCAGTAGGAACATTCCCAACAAAAGGGATCAAAAGCCTGTCTACCGGAATCAAATCAACGAATAAACGTTTGCTGTAGACAGTCAAAAGACGAACAGTCAAATCACAGCACAACCGTAAGTTGACCTAAAACGAAATGTCGGGCGTTATCAGCAGTCCAGCGTCACATGATAGGAAAGTGAAACATTCATGAAAAGTCTCAATCATACAAGGCAGATACTGAGTGCGATGGCAAAGAAGACGGTCAAGCAACCAAATGACATCAAACCGGCTAGGGTCAAAGGTACGCCATCCATAACGAGGGTAAAAATATTCAAACAAATGTCAATACTATCAAACTGGATGTTCAGGAGGGATTTTCGGATCATTATCCGGCCACACTCGGTTCAGCAGTATGACTCCCAACTAAACATCTCGCCTGTCGGGCTATCATACCAATATGAGTATTATGACCTCCATTTTACCTGCCCCTACTTTGGTCTTCCCTGTTTCTTTGCTGACAACCAACTTTCCACAGTATCTCCCTATTCATCAGGATTGTCTGTTTCGCTGCCTTTCATCTCGTCTGGAATAAATTTGTTTGCGACTTCCATTATATTTCATTCTCCTTCCCAAACCTTTGCTTGTTTGCTCACTTTCGCTTCCTCGCTTTTGTATTCACGTTTTAATCCCACCTTCCCTTTGCTATTAGTTTGTACAGTTGTTTAGTTATACGACATCTGAGGGAACCATTTGCACGAGTCTCGGAAGAAATCGCACACCTTCTTACGAGCTTAACCAACATCCAACCATCAGCTGGGTCTGCCGGAGCTAAGACAGGCGACTGGATCCACCGCAATAGGACATACCAAAGACTTTGAACCATTCCACAGAACCTAGGAGACAACGCCCAGAAGCCAGTTGGTATACAAATGCTCTCAAAATAGATATTCCATGTTAGGAGTTTTCCAAATCATCTATTTCCCAATTTCCGAGTCTTCTGACCACATGATGCATAGACCGCATGAAGTTTCCGGAGGCAATTGCGTTGATGCTGACCGCACAAATTCGAAGCCACTGGCGAGTCGTTTCGCAGAGTTCGAGCCCACTGACTTCCTTGTGTTTCAAATCACGACGTAACGCATGGAATCCCAAGCCTTGGATACTCCGTACACAATCCCCATCGCCTTTTAAACCTTTTGTGTATCCTTATTTGGCAAGGATACTTTTAAATTAGCCATCAGCTTGGTTTACCGCCACAATCCACATAGATTGGGGTGTTTTTTCGCCCCACGCAATTCTGGGGCAACTACAGCGAAAGTGCTTACCGCTTATATGCTGTACGACGTGTTGGAAAGCTCGATAGCAGATGAGGCCTGAGAATTCCTCAACAGGTAAAAACATCATCTACACTGCTCAGCGCGGCTTACGAAGTGGTAATTATTATGACACCAACTTGCAGGTTGCCTGGGACAACGGAAAACCAGCTGACGCCTTTTTTCTCGATACTGCTGAAGCATTCAACGGGGTCCCACAAGGAGTCCTACTTTCCAAGATCACTCTAACAAGAGTTAATAAGCCTCTGCTTTCTTGCTTTAGAGCGTACCTGAGAGAAAAACAGTTCTGGACAGAAGTGAACTGAATGCAGTTCGAGTGGGGGCCAACAACATCTTGGGTATCCTGTAGGGCAGTCTTGTAGCTCTTCTGTTCCCGCTGCCCACTGACGGTTTCACAGGCACTATTTCACCGCCCACCCTTCTCACTGCTGACGATATGGGGGTTTGGAGGGTGGCGGACGAAAAAGTAGACAGTATAGTGGTCCAAAGCAACAAGTAGCAAATGAAACTCTGGTTACCGGAGAACAGCCTGGGCTCCATCCTAGAAGAGTCCAAAGAATGGATATCAGGACACATGAAGCAAAGGCGGCTGAGTTTCAATAAAAGTTTGGCAGCTGTATCAAAGCCAAGGTGCTCACGGAAGGGAGTCTCGAGCCCAGCTTCTCCGACAACCTAGTCACTTGCCCTAACTACAGAAGAACGACAGCAAAAGCAAACACCACTACGCTTCGAGTGCAGACAGTTTAGCTGTCTCACTTATGAGCAACTTCAAACAGTCTTCAGATCCCATTCACGACTGCATCCAGAAGCCCTCAGTCCCCGAAGTTCAAGAGACACTTCAACCTTCCCGAGAAAGTAGAAGGGTCTACGACAAAATCAGTCATCGGGATAAGGGGGAAAACTTGTTCTGATAGACTAAGGGAAGTAAACCTGTTTACTCTATCCATCACGGAAAGAGGGGTGGCCTTGCAACGGCCTACAAGATTACTCCTCAGGAAAGTAATACGAACAGGCTACGTTTATCTGCGAGATGGTGGTTATCACGAGGGAAGGCCATCAGAAGGGCACATCGGAGATCCAAAACCACACTTGGGCCGAACATTTTCACTCAGGAGAATATGCCTCGTGTAACTCCTCCACTTAGGGTGTCATCACGGTCCCCTCAGTGGACCTGTGGCGTCACACACTTCCCCGAAATCAATAGCCCAGGGTTCGACGACATTCAGCATTGATGCTGATCTTGAAAGTTCAACTGGACTCGCTCAGCTGAAGGCACCCGGTCAAGCATCCTCGCCATTTGGCACGCTGCTGTGTTACTTTGGACCGTTCGTATTCGACTCTGTAGCCAGTTAGTTGGAACGCATCGGTGTTTTGGCACAACCGCTTAAATGTACTATTCCATCCGACTGCGTTATTGTGTTCTTCCTTGGTCTCTTCTTCGTGGGTACATAACAAGTCCGAATAATTAGTGATTGGCCTCTGCGTCTATCAAGTTCGCACCACGACAGTTCCTAAAAACCCATTCTAAAGAGAGTTGGACGGTCATGTTAGTTCATATGGCCTGGTGGCGACGTAGTCAGGACACCAATAGACCCCCTGGCTCACTAACACTTTCTTCTTATTAGCTACTCACAGCCCATTTGTTTTGAAGCACCAGCATTGCTTTCTAGTTCTTTTCTAGTAACACGACTGATGAAATGCGCTTTTTTTCAAGAATGTACCGTGTATCTTTCCTTACCATCCAGCTATCCCACTCTAGGCACCTATATAGACAGGAGTCAAGAAAGATCCTAATCTCGGCAACCTGCGTCTTTTCCTACGTGTAGCAAATACCAACTCTCAAAAAGCACTCACCTCACCATGGCTTGGAGGGGCCAGGGAATAATTTCCCTGTCCGGTACAGAAGTAAACTAGCCAACATGAACTGAACCCCAAGAACCGTATATCAGATAAAAGCTATCATTTTCCTATGCTTGCACTAGTGCTGTTTACTCTGATATAATGTGGACTAATAAAGTAGCTTAGATGTACTCAGAGATAAATCTTTTCTAGTAGCAAATAATTTATAAAAGTCTAGTTTATTTTTCTTTTAGTACGTAGTTTGGAGTTTGAACATTGTTTTGTTTTTCTTTTTTGACTTCATCTACGCAGATTACCGAATATTTGAACATACTAAACATGGACAAATTGGCGGGCTCCCGTAAAATTTTAGAGGATTCTTTACACCAAAAGAACTGGTTTAATGATCTGTTAGAGAAAGCAGAAAAAAAAACAAACGTTGACCGAATTTACATTGTTCTTGGTAACAGTTGTTTCCTGATGCTCAATTGTTACTAGGTGGAGTTTTCGTGATATTCCTTTATCTCATCTTTGGTTATGGAACCAGCTTTCTTGCCAATCTGATTGGGTTTATGTATCCAGCTTACCGATCGTAACTTTCGTTTGCTGTATTTTATTTCTTAGGATCAAAGCTCTTGAGACCACGGACAAAGCAGATGACACGAAGTGGCTCACTTACTGGGTTGTATTTGCAGCATTCAGCGTTGTAGAGTCATTTACGGACATATTCTTCTACTGGGTGCCGTTATACTCCCTACTAAAGGTTTGTAAATGCTTTTTGTGTAATTGATCACCTCAGTGTTCATTCTTCCTATTCATGATGATTCCAACTACACCGAACGGGTCTGTCATTATCTATCAAAAAGTCATTCGGCCTCATATATTAGCTCATGAAAAGGAAATTGACAAAATTATCAATGAGGCAGCTGATCTTGCTGGTGATTTTGGGAACGCTGGTGAGTATTTTCACAGAAACATTACGAGCAGTTGATAAATATTGACTGCTGTTATCTAAAAAAAGTGTTTGGTTCCATTGTACTGCATCTGTATCATATAACTTTCTGTTGGAATGTAGTTTCTCATCGCCATATTACTAACTTTGCTAAATCGTCTCACGGCACATTCCGCTTTTAAATTCGCTGCGGTTAGTTCAGGGAATGGTATAGTAGGTCAATGACTTAGATCAAGCATTGGAATCGGTAGCGCTACAGAGATTCACTTTCATTTTGAAAGCATCAATAGAGGGTGGAACTACTTATGCTCTAATAAGGAGCCCCATTGGTTCACTACTAGACGAAAAACCGATATCCAGATGTGCATCCCGATCGTGTTATGTTGACGTTTCGGTGATCTCAGGTGGATGGTTCTAGAAGTAAATAATAGATAAGGTAGTTGACCCACGAGTCATATTTTAAGCTACAATATGTTGGTATGCGCTCAACCCTCGTCCTACGAAAAGTAGGTCTAACCGATTTTCTTCGTAGGAGAGATTAAGTGGCTATTTGGTCATCTTGATTCCTACCGTTTTGACTTACTATGATATACCTGCATATTTGTCATATTGTTTAACTATCTTAATCCCATATTCTAAATAAACCCAACATATGGGGTATACAATTCGAAAAATGTTCTTACCTCGGTTCTAACAGATCTACCGAAGTAACCACAATTCAGACATTGCATGCAGGCTATGGGTTGTGTTCATACTGTCATAGCAGATCCGAATACAAACAGTACTGGCGGTTTTAAGAATTAGCATAAGTTATTTTCGGTTATCCTAATTCTCGGTAACTGCAAATTCTCATGTATCAGTAAATGTCACTTCAGTTCCTTGCAATCGAAGCTGGTCGTCCATGAAGCTTCTGGATTTTCTTACAACTAGTGAGGAACAACGAATTTAAGCGTAGTGGTGTTGATTTCGATTGTTGTGTTAGCATGTCTTTGAGATTCTCGCATTTCTCACTCTCTAAACGTTAGTTTCCATCAATCAATATGTTTTGGGTCTATTGCTGACTTTGAAGAACATACTTGAAATTTCTTGAGATCGGTTCCCTACATGTCCTTGATACGTTTTGCGCTTTTTACTTTTATGACTTCGATACACAACTGAATTGAGCCTTGTTAGTCTGGGAGTGATTCACTTTGATTTTCTCTGGTTTATTTACTTTTCGAGGTTGATTTCGTATTTTCCTTAGAATACGTAGATTCGATATTGAACAATCAATGGAGGTGGTGTTTCTGAGGTGAATAATAGGTTATCGAACAAAAATATCACTTACAAGCTACATGGTGATGATGAGACTTGTGTACTTGGAAGTGGCTTGATTATGTTAACTGTGTTCAGGTTCATTCACATCTGTACCAGAGAGACTGGTTAAAAACGGATGACGTAGTTGTCCACATTTGGGAACATAATTGAAGATGGTGATCACTTCGACGAACTAAACTTGAATCTGCATTTAGTGTTTGTCAGTAATCTTATCATCAACATAGATACAGTAGCGTGAAATCTTCGGCAAATGTGCATTATACCATACAGCCGTACGTTTCAGCAGCCCAGTCATAAAATCCGTTCGAAAGTTTTGAAGTAAACAAGGTCAGCTCAATGGTAATGCCCTTGACCACAGTACTCGGTTACACGATTGAGTCATGGGGCATATCGTTTAGAGATTGTAGATATACCGTACTTTATAGTGCCAACTAGTATTAAACCCTTTAATAGGGTTTCCTGCCATTAGACTCCAACTGTCTTTCAACCTAGGTCACTGTTAGACTGGAAAAAAATAAATATACCAAATGTCAGAGATTTACTACAGAATGCAACACAAACAAGCGGTTATCATTTTAGTTGCATTCGGAACTGTATAATCTAGTTTATGTGCCAAGTTTATCAAGACTGCATAAACGCTCACCAGGAAACCTTCATGATAAACCAATAAACAGCTACTTCAAGGGCTTTTTCTTCAAAGTTATCTGACATTAGGTTGGTCAGACAAGGCAGATCGCTGGAAGGCATACTCTAGAGAACATTTGAATGGGTTACAGTTGCCATACATGGCGTAGTTTGTTGAGTACCAAAGACATTCTGTATCCGTGCTATGGTTCCACTAGTTACTGCTCTAGTTGAGAATGATAGGACGACCCAAGTATATATAAATAATACTTTCGGTTGGTTGGATTCATGCTCTTAAAATAGTTGTAGGTGTAAAGGTGCTAGAGTATGGTTTCGTGAATGGCAGGGGCAAAACAGACCAAGTACCTTTAGATTTTATCAAGTATATAAATATTTTATCTATCTGGCGTCGCTATTTGGAGCTGTGGCTCACTGGTTTAGGCACTTGATTTCCAACCTGTGGGTCACCCCCCGGAACCCAGCCTTACCTACTGAGAATGGGGCAGACAATTATCACTAGCTCATATTAAGCGTGGCTCATTGTCTGCTGTATGAAAATGCACAAGGCTGTTGTGAGGATTTCGATTCGATGAAGTATCATAGCATGACTAAGGTAAGTCCTAAGAAAACCTTTAGGTCAATCGCCCAACTTCTGAGCAATAATTGATGAACAAATATTTGTATAAGATATACATGGAAGTTATGGTAGTAGACATAGTTGGCAAAGTATGATTGTTCTCGCTTAAGATCAAAACTCTGTAGTTCTTGACGCAACTTCGATCAAGATTGTCATTTCGTATTGTAGTATGATTATTCAAGATCTTGGAGTCAAACATCTACAAGACTTTTTTTGGGTAAATAAGCACGCGTGTGGTTCAAAACCTAATAAAGGGTGAGTGCAGAAAGCGTAAGCACTTTTCCACTAATTAACAGCACTTATTGTTTCATTTTAGTGTCTGCTGCGGGGTGCATATATCAAGTTATGTCCATCAAGGATATCCATTCTCTCGATTATTTGACTTTGCCAAAGATATGTTTTGGGAGCTCTCTTTTTCTGGATTTGACTTTTATCTGTCGTTCACCCCACAGGATACTCTTTTGTCGACTTGGAGCTCACAGACTACACGGTCCTGTTACGCAAATATGCTGACAACACGCATATTTTCTTGGATACATCCTTACAATTTAAAAAAACATTAGAATGCTTTAAGTCCCCCAAGGGCAAATTTTTACCTCAAAACTGGTTTACTTTGATATCTAATCTGATAATAGAGAGTTAGCTGTTCGGGCGCATTGATTCTTCTTTTGCTCGATTAGACGGATCAGTAACCTATGAAACTTTGGCACCGATATATAGTATTCGACTAGTTTTGTCAACTTATACCATATGTAATGGTGGTTTGAAATCTAACTGCACACTAAATAATGAGTTTACTGTGCAACAGTTTGCGCTATCGTACTCTATGGATCTTAAACATGACTATGAAAGTTGAACCATGTTTAGAGGTTCTCTGTGACAAACCACCATCTTCTTTATAGCTTTCCCGAATATCGTAAAACCACTGTTTGAGCAGTGCAGTAGTGAGTATATAGTCTTGAATCAAAGAAACTAGTTAGTTGATAAAAATGTAACCCTTCATCATATGAAGTGGTTAGAGCATACGTTACTCATAGTCAACGTTTACTCCCATTTGGTATTTTACCAGAAGTCTGACTGTTGGTCTGACCTGTGTTGGGAAGTGCAGACTTTCATGTTGGGGTACGCAAGACAACCAGTGTAGAAGATTAGGAACCCTGGGTGATATATTTTGAAGTAGATCGCGGTGACATACATCTACTCTTTATTTTCATACTAACCGTTTTGTCATATTTCGTTGTTTTCTCTATCGCCTGTCTTTCATCCTATTACTTTTTACGGCTTTTAATCATACATACATCTTTGTTTTTCTTGTTGGCTTTTATATGGATCCATTAATGTAATTTGTGGTAGCTTAAATCATAACATAGTAAAGCCAAGTGCTATATTGGTTGGATGTGAGTAGTGACGCATGAGTTTATGGGCTTTTTGTTAATCGTACCTCGAGGTAACAGGCCACATTTCTGTATAACAAATGTTGACCACGGCTTAGTAGATGATTCTGTGCCAGCTTGATTTGCAAATAAATACAAATGCACTAGCCGAAACTGCACTCTTCATTTAAACTCGTTTTCTGTACCAGGTGACCAATAATTTTCAATTTTGTTAGTTCCATTGGGAACTCATACAATCAGTTTTCATGGCTGTGAAGTTGTACAAGGTCTGATATGCATCGGTGACACACCTATTTTCGAACTGGTGACTTATGCGAACTTCCATGTGTAACAGATAGTCGAATTTGGTTAGTATGAGTCGATTCCTTTGAGTTTCCTAAGCGTCATTTTCGGGATTTGTGGCTCAAGCGTTGTGGCAGTCGAATCCCAATCAATAAGTCATGGGTTCGAACTTATCTTCATTTACCAGGGTTTCGGCAACCACAATAGACGTGGCTCATTTCCTAGTGCATGAACCTGCATGTGTTGCTGAATCATGGAGGGAGATCTACCTTTTCTTTGTTTGTCTGTTATATATATATATATATATATATATATATATATATATATATATATATATATATATATATATATATATATATATATATATATATATATATATATATATATATATATATATATATATATATATATATATATATATATATATATATATATATACATGAATTCCGAAGTCAGGTGTAGACTTTTAGAGGAAAGAGGTTATGTAAATGATGATTAGTTTGTGATCCTTCACTGACTTAGGTGGCTGAAACATGTAATATCTAGCTACCGTCTTCCCCGTTGCAGAATTTTAACTGAAGTAGGTTAAGGCTGAGAAAAGACTAGGAGTGGACAGCTTAAAACACAGGATCGGTGCATGAAGTCTTTATCTGCTAGTTTGAATCGTATTGGGGGACGAAGGCATCGGTTGATGTCTGTGTGACAACCGAAATCAGTAGTAATTCGGTCCAAGGGAGACCCGTGGACCAGGTTTCTCAAGCTCAGTACCTGTCTGTAGGCAAGAAATACAGGCAATTCCATTGGTCTCACTTTAGAGACCGTTGCATAACTGACATTAAAAAGAATAGAAACTATACATGGTCTTAGCTCAGGCAACCGAGAAGTAAAGGGTACTAGGTAAGGTAGGTAGTCGATGATGCCATTAACCTTTGTCGATTCAGATGGCTTAGGCATGTGTTGTGCATGCCGAGTCACCGCCTGCTTCGATGTGCAATGCTAGGAGAAGTTGGATTAGATAGGTAGAACGCTCAGGACGGCTAACCCAAGACATAGCACCAAGCCATGAAGTTTCTGACTGTTGGTCTGAGCCGTGTAGGCAGGTGTAGACTTCATGGCTGGAGACCCCGAAACGATAGGAATCAGTGGTTGAGGACTCCTGGTCACACGTCTGGAAATTAGTCACAGTGGCGCAGATTTATTCACTCTGAGGTCTTCTAAAGCTTGAGTATTAGAACTAGCCTTCAAATCGTTTATTCTCTTATACAACGTTATCGACTTTAATATCACGTTTTCTGTGCATTTGTTCTTTGTATACTATTGTGAAGTGTGTTGACTTGAACCGATGCCCTTGAATGTAAGTAAGGTTCTATGGTGATTTTGTCCGTCTGTCAAAATCAGCGGTCAGAAACTCCAGTTTATATGGCTTAGAGCCGATCTTAGTGCCGCATCCACACATTATTTTTATCTCACCCGTCATACAGAACATTATTGTCCCATTCCTTTTTCTGTTTTCAAAACTTTCCACCACTAACTAATTTCATCCGTATTTCCTTATCTCTCGTCTTGGTACCTTCTAACTTGATGTGTTGAAATTAGGTGTAACTGCATGCATGAGCCGTTACGCAGTAATATTAAGTTTCATCTTGATGATAACTAAATGATGTATATTTATAAAGTATGATAGTTTAAGATAATGCACCACTTTTCGTAGGTTCTGGGTTTTTATTTTGTTTACATCTATGGTATAAATGTACTTACTGTGCTTTGTGAAAACTGTGCAATGTACTTGTTTTTTTCTTTTTAGCAAAAAAGAAAGCTACTGAAGTTGTTTCTCAAGAACTCATTGGCAAGAATGAGTGATAATAATAGTAGTTATTTATAACTGATTTTGTTTGGATGTTAATGATTACTTTCTGGACTCTGCCAAATAGTTCTGCTTAAGATCCTGAATATTCTTTATTTGTTCTTGCATGTCTATAAATTTGTGTGTACGCTTTTATGGTTGTGTTTGCCATTAAAATTTGCTTCTTTTTCGTTTTTTCACCTTTTCATTCCAAGCTAAGTTTTCTCTCTGAGTTGTTTTGACATCATCTTTCGGTTCATCACTTCTTTAAAACGACAGTCGAGAAACATTTTGAACTTTTCTTTTGTGTTGCTTAATAATATGTTAACTTTCGAGTTTACTTCGATTTATTTTCCTCTTCTCATGTGTAGCTTTCAAGTGATGAAACTGTAAGTATGCGACTCATACAATTGTCTTATTTCTTCTTTTTCACTTTTCTCCTGTCATTTGTGCATACAAGGAACATAAGAGATACTGATTTGTTTTCTTTTCATTTGTATCTCGCCATCTTTTTGTTTGGTCACACTAACTTCTCATTTCATTATGAATAGAAGGATGAGTGATTCAGTATTTCTTTTATTATTTCTACAGATACGTGAAATACTTACTGATTCAAACGATCAATCTCTGTGTGTGCGACTGTACTGTTTCTGTTTTCTGTGAGTCCTGTAGACGCTGCTCTGAACTGTTTTGTTGACTAGAGAGTCACTCTGAAAATGGAAAGGGTTAAGATAGACTGCGTCCTACTTTGTTACCTATGTTTTTTTCTTATTTTCTCATTATGTAGTACTGTAAGCAGAGCTGTAACGTGTCACCCCATACACATGTTCACAGTAGCATAGATGTATTTACACCTTATCTTCATATTAACCATTAAACAGCATTTTCTAATTTGCCTTATCCCTTTTCGTTTAATAGCTTCTAGGCTTTTGTTCACATGACTTGCATCGCTGTCTTGTTACCTTGGATGTTCTGATGTGATGTGTGGCAGCGTTGACCGTTACGCAGTAATATCAGGTCCCATGTAGTTATAATCTTAACTTTCAGCGTTTCAAAAGTTCAAACTGCACTGTAATTACTGAGGTTAAGGTAACCATGTATGATATTAGTCGAACTTAAATAAGCGTGGTTCATAGTACAGTACACGGACCTGCACGTGGTTGCCGATTCAACTCATCATTTGCATAATACTACTCGTTCTAGTTCTCGACTTACGATGACGCTGCTCAACCTGGTACAGGTTCAAATACCGAGCTGTGAGGCATTCTTGTGTGAGGGCTTATGATACCACTAAATAACTCAGGTAGAATCAATCGAGTGGGGGTTCAAACCAAAGATACACTGGTTGGCAGTCAAATACTAAAGCCAGTTAGCCACACTACCCAGTTATTAACTAGATTCCTGCATATCGAAACCAATACTGAGGTTAAAATGCATGCATATATAAAAGTGGTAGTTAGATGATAAATATCCCTGATCGTAGGGGATGTATATTTATAAGTTATTATGAATGCATAACCTTGGAAACACTTACTTATCCACCATGTCTGATGGAGATACATAAAGACGACACATTTGCTGTGTTGAAACCAGACAGTACTCACACAAAACCTACTTGGGGAATACAGTTCAGTGTACTTCGGATTTAGAAAATGAACTTTTTTGCTTTTGTACATTGAAACGAATATAAGACAGTCTAAATACTCATATCCACCTGAGGTTTGTGTTGTAATAAATATCTTGGACATAGGTTAACCCCATGCCATATCAATTGGAGCGTTGGGTGGGATGTTTCACTAATTATCCCAAGAGTCTGACTCGTAAGTCCGAAAGTTTCAGTAAGTACTTGAATCACAGGGAAAAATCATTACTCAACAGATTCCCTCCAGAATTTATTGGGTCTATAAAAAAAGTGATTGGAATACATCAAGAATTCAAAGCCCACTACACCGGTATCGTGAGCAAGGAATGTGGGAAACTGTGCAGAATCCTAACCATAAATAATAGTGAGGTGGCATTTAAACCTAAGAACTAATGTGGAGACAAACTCTTCTGTCTAACGAACCCTAATTAGACGAAGCTGATTCACCTCTCAAGTGCTATGCAGCTACTGTGAAGTCAGGTGTATAGGTCAAAGCACCATATCGGTGATAGAATCTACTGGGATAAGTAGCCTAAGGAGAAACGGCTATTGTTGGGCACAGACTGACAAAATAGGGTGTGACAAAGTAACAATCCTAAAGATCAGTAGAATTAAGTGGATAGGAATAGTTATTACTGAATCACCTACCAACTCATAGATTAGTGAAGTATGTGAAAATAAAGAAGGTAATGTCACTAAGGCAGCCAACTTTCGAATGTGTAACTAAATTCACTTTATTTCGGGAAGTAAATTGTCTTCAAAATGTCCTGTAAACAGCGTGTGCTATATCAAATAGGATGTGGAATCTTACCACATAAGTGTCTAGGTCCTACTCTAATCTGTTCATCATACTACTGCTGCTGGTTGTCAATATCGTGTTTTTTAGTTTATTATTGCATTTATGACAATCGAATAAACAGCTATTAGATTGGAAGAATGTGGTGACTTTTTTAGGTAGTGGCTCAGGATTACAATTGTTTGTCAACAGAAATAGAAATATATATTATTTGCTTTGAGTTCCTCATACTAAAGATTTGGTTGTGCTGACGAAGCCAGCTGCTTTACAATAAGCTGATGAATACATTTTGTTCCTCATATTCTTCCACTTATTAGATTGAAGCCTGATCAACTCTGTAACGGTTCAGTTGACCTTATTTCTGTATATAACAGGATGAAACCATGGCATTTGTAACTGAAAAAATATATGGACCAAATAAACAAACTAGTCCAAATCAACAACCCCGTGTGTGTTTACTAGTGATATACGATACTACTCGCTTCATAAAACTCAACTGAGTAGATCATGTTTACATGTTCGGTGAGAGGGTTAATTGTTGACTGTCTAGACTGCTCAACAGCTGTGGTAATGCGAAAGATGGTTACCCTCTTCACTATCATGAAGGTAGGTGTTAAAAAGGTTGTGTTCTCGAAACTGGCAATGTCTCACTGAAAGGAGTACTGAATAGGTACATCACCTTACTGAAGACTCTTTATTCGAACACCTGTGGGAGTGTTAGGGCCTATGGTGAGGTGTCGAGTGAGCTGTGTACGTCGAGTAGCATCCGTCAACGATTCCCACTCTCTCCACTCTTGTTCAATTTTACCTTAGACGTTTTTATGGAGGTCTCCCTCTCGTCGTCATTTAACTATACGGGGACTGACCTAATCACAGGGGGATTTTTGGTAGACCTAGAATACGCTGATAACATATTCTGTTAGGTGAAGATGCTGGCAAGATGTAGAGTCTTCTGGACAACTTGAGTCGGAATTTGTGAATATTTAGGATGCATGTCTTGCCACCTGAGTTGAAATTATTACTCCAATACTGGTCGTCAGTGGTGCTCCGGCCAACTGTAGAGAGTGAAATGGTTGATGCGTTGAACATACCACTCACCTGGGAAGTCGGACAAGTACCGGTGGGTGGGTCAGTGGCTGACAAAATCTCTGCAAGCATACAGAAAGTTGGGTTGACTTACGGTATTTGTGGCGCCACCGCGATATCTGGTTGTATATTAAAAGTTGAGTTTACTGTGCTGCAATCCGCTCTGTTCTACTGTATGGCTGTGAAACATGACCATTTAAGATAGAAGACATGAGAAGGCTTTAGGTATTTGACCACCGTTGCCTTAGTAGCATAGGTCGTGTTTCGTGGTGTCACCACCTGAGTAATGCAGATGTCAGGTGCAGAGTTTTAGGGAGGAGAAGTAAGTCAGTTGATGCGGTTGTGAACCTTCATCGATTGAGATGGAGGGGATATATATTAAGTATGCCTGGTCACCGTCTGCCTCGTCACACAATGTTGGCGGAATTAGGTTCAAGCTGGAAAAAGGTTCAGAGCAGCAGGAGCATCAATGCATGACATTGTTGACTGTTGGTTTGAGCCATGTAGGGCGATGCAGACTAGCCAATTGGGGTCCGTGGGACAAGAGAAACCAGTGGTCGGATACTCTAGGTGATACGGCTCAGGACCAATGTGAGTGGCGCAGATGTATACACACATTCTCTTCATCTTGACTGCTACACTTGGTCTTATTTTCTCATTCCTCCTTCCTCTGTTTTACTGTTTTCAACTTCTTTTGACCGATTTCTCTCTCTTCATTCATCCTCCATTTTACTGCCTTGTTACTTGATGTTGTGATATAAGGTGTGGCAAGTTGAGTTGTTTCACAGCAATGCCTCGTCCTATTTTGATGACAAATCTCAGAGCTTTCACATCCAGTAGGGTCCTTTTAGCATTCTTGATTAATCAGTTATTTTTTGGGAGACAGCTTGATTCTTTCAGGAAAATCCATATTTAGGTGACTGATCTACATATGGAATACACCAACAAAAAGCCACATATCGGTGACCCTCTGGAAGAATACGTACTACGACAACATTAAAGGGAAAAATGTGTATCTACAAGAGTTCAGGCTGAACGCTAGTGAACGTATTTGGCCTACCTTTCACCGTTACACACTTTTCTTGGTCGGCCGAGTCAAATGTTGATTTTAGAGTGGAGAATATTACTATCTGTTAGTTAACCTAAAGAGTCACTTCTCTACTCTGTAAGTAATGGGTTCTGGCTGCAAAAGGACAAGATCTATCATTTAAAAAATCTGGAAGGTCAAACGATAGTTCACAAGATTAGCACATTTCTTGCCGAAAGTTAAAGTTCCAACATCATAGACTTTGATTTTATGACAATGGTAAATTCTATAGGTAGAACTGTGTCTGTCTACCAGTAGTCCGATCTATTTTCGGATGTGTGTGAAGTAACACGAAGAGTCACTGAAGAAACGACAGCGAAAAAGTAAGACTAGGATCAATTAGTTAAATAAGTTTAGGAGTACTGGTTGAATAGGTGTGCGAATTCGCCAAACATTAACAAAAACT